AAACATTTGCTATAAATTTATTTTCAGAAAAGTTGCTTCAGTTTTTGGTGGTCACATTAGCACACACCTTAAGGGACAATTTTTTTATTAACCCTCAATTTGTTTTGGATATTTTGTTATTTTATTATTATTGTATTAGAGTGCCTAATTGCGGATGTTGAGAATACGCCCACTTTTAATATAATGAAGAAAACTTTTTCAAGTCAATTTAAATAAAACATTTATAATCGAAGATGAAGAATATTATACCATTCCTTCTTATTCTACAAATGGTCAATGGATAATGCGAACAATGTATCCGATTTGGTAAATACTCTAAACATCCTAATATCTTTGTCAAGCTTTTTTAATGCAAAAATGGGATTTTTAAAGCCACTTCTTGTAGTACCTACCCCATAAAGGTTCAACATTTTTGAAAATGTGTAAATCTAATACGAACCTTATTGAGTTTTCCATATGTTTATAACTTCGCACAAAGTAATATTTTTACCAATTCGAAGTCAGAAATTATTGGTCTGATCCCTTTGGTTCATAATCCACAAAGCAAAACTTGACTCGACATATTTCTGGCCACTTCTCAAAGGGTTAAAAAATGAGAATGCTAAATCTATGTCGATTCCGAAAATGGGTCATATGGATCATCTCCCCCTCATACCTCATTTTTGAAAAAGGAGAGAGTTTTAAACAAAAAGAGATGAAAAGTATTTACTAAACACAGACTAAAGACAGGCTTGCCGATTCTAGGGTTAAATATTTATTTGTGAACACGATGACAAAGTGTATTCCCTAAGGATATATGCGGTATCCTTAATTATTGATAATAACATAAATTTTAGAACCGGTTTTACTAAACCAATAAACGCAATATGCTTATCATTAGAAAACTGAAACAATTGCCACATAAATCGGACAGTTTAAAAATTAACTGGATTCAGTTATCTTCTCATGTCTTAAAAACTGTTTCACAAAAAAAATTAAGAATTCTTATGTGGGACTTAGCCCACCTTAGGAACTATAGAAATCTGAACCTGTGTGTACTTAACATGCATAAACTATTAATACTTTAGAGGTTTTCGGGAACTGCAACAGGTCGTCGACTTATACAATAATTAAATCAAGACCGATAGACATGTGGTACAGATGAATATCATATTCGGAACATCCGATTCTAAATTCTGAAAATCCAAGCTAAGATCGAGATACGACAGTCACTTCAAATAGTATTGTGGTGGAATTGATGACACTATAGGTCACGACCTGCGCTATTTAAAATTATTTGAAGCTACAAACAGTAAAAAGAAATACATAGTTGAATTTGTTGGTTTATGTTGTTGTCTTTGTGATTAAAGTACTTCTTTTCGCCGTGAACGAAATTTCCTCTCAGTTGGACATCTAAATCAAAAAATTCCCAAAAGATTAACAGGATTTGGTACAAAAAATATTTTAAAACAACTTTTTAGTTCATAATGAAAAATTGGTATAAATAGTTTTGCCTAAATTCATGACTCAATTGTATGAGGGTCCTTACTTCACTTATTTCTGAGAAAACACACATTCATTTTTCCATTGTAATTTGGAGTGCATTTTTATATGAATATCCCTACTACCTTCTAATGATCTTGAATTTAAAAAAAAAAAAAACCAGTAAGGAAAGTAGTAAAGTCGGACGGGGCCGACTATATGATACCCTTCACCACTTTGAGCATATTCAACAGATGAAATAGAAGCTATATCTAAATCTGAACCGATTTCAACGATTTCAGGAAACTTAACACACATCATTCCAGACCTCATCCATAACGCAGTGCCAAATTTCGTGCAAATCGAAAGATATATAGGGACTTTGGTAGACCATTTACATTAAATCGGACGAAAATATATATAGGAGCTATATCTAAATCTGAACCGATTTTCAGGAAACTTAACACACACCATTCTATAACTAATTCATTACGCTGTGCCAACTTTGGTGCAAATCGAAAGATATATAGGGACATTGGTGCACCATTCAGATTAAATCGGATGAAAATATATATGGGAGCTATATCTAAATCTGGACCGATTTTCAGGAAACTTAACACACACCATTATATTCCTAATTGATTACGATGTGCCAACTTTCGTGCAAATCGAAAGATATATAGGGACTTTGGTGCACCATTTAAATTAAATCGGACGAAAATATATATGGGAGCTATATCTAAATCTGAACCGATTTTCAGGAAACTTAACACACATCATTCTATACCTAATTCAGTACGCTATGCCAAATTTCGTGGAAATCGAAAGATATATAGGTACTTTGGTGCCACGTTTACCTTAAATCGGACGAAAATATATATGGGAGCTATATCTAAATCTGAACCGATTTTCACGAAACTCAGCACACACCATTATGGACCTAATTCAGTACACTATGCCAAATTTCGTGCAAATCGAATGATATATAGGTACTTTGGTGCCTATATCGGGCGAAAATATATATGGGAGCTATATCTAAATCTGACCCGATTTTCACGAAACTCAGCACACATCATTTTGAACCTCATTCAGTACGCTATGCCAAATTTCGTGCAAATCGAATGATATATAGGTACTTTGGTGCCTATATCGGGTGAAAATATATATGGGAGCTATATCTAAATCTGAACCGATTTTTCCCAATTTCAATAGGGTTCGTCCTTGGGCCAAATAAGTGATCTATGCCAAATTTCATCCAAATCGGATCAAAAATGCGACCTGTACTTTGTTCACAAAAATACATGGACGGACAGACGGACGGACAGACGGACATGCGTAAATCGACTCAGAAAGTGATTCTATGCATATTCTCAAAAGGAACCATGTGCCTATCTCGTTTCCTTTTGCCTGTTACAAACATATGCACAAAGACATAATACCCTGTACCACAGTGTGGTGAAGGGTATAATAATCTTAATAAAATGAATTAATAAATATTTATATTGCTAACGATTTTAAGAAATCTTAAAAAAAAACAAATAACTTAAATTCCAATGCATGTGACACCGGACCTAATTAAGAATTTCCTTTTGCAACAAACTGTGAACCTGCAGTATGATTAATATTAATTTCCGCCACTTCATGACTCATACGATCAATGAATGTTTCTAATAACTGAGTAAGAAATTCTTGATAATTAATTTAATATTCTTTAGTTTTTACCATATTTTAGAATAAGGTAGGATATTTCAATGAACCTTTCTCTTCACCTGTAAATAAATTCATAGAATATTTACGATTGAGTAATTAACGGATGTTTGTTTCTCAAAACAGTATTTAACATTTGTGTAGCTGTCTAGGTTTCACTGTATAACAACAGCGTGTTGTTATTGACTGACATACATAAATGAAAAACATTTTTTTGTATGATGTGACCAGATTTCAATGTCAGTTTTTAGTAATGATTTAATTGCAAATGACTTAATGTACATCTCATGAGACATTTCTATGAATCAGATCGAAATTGCATCATACCTAATAAAATATCTAATGTTTGTTGTTGTTAAATAAAAAATAAACCAAAAAACCTAAATAATTCAATTATCGCCTGCTACTTATTCCCCACTTTGGAACTGAAGATAATCTCTACAAATCTCTAGAAAAAGAAATCGACACTTATGCTTCAATGAGATAATAGAGGAAATAACATGTACATACCCAACAAAATTGTCAACACTTGTTCACTCCTAGTTCTTAGTGTATTAAGCGCTATAATAAAGGTAGAATTAGTTATACAAATATAAATACATTTGTTTATTTGACGCATACAGTAGTGTACAGTAAACCCTCTAGCTTCGGGACATTGGCAATTATTTGCAATAAAGTTATTCGTGTGTCATGATATATCCAACACCTAACAAAGTAGGAGTATATTCCTAAATTAGCTAAATTTGTTCACAAATATTACTGGTTTTGTTTCCTGTCTAGAATACGTACAAGTTTCGACACTGCCCCTTGGATATTGATTTTTACTGTAATCATTTTTACTTTTTTGTATATACACATTTTAGAATCGGATATATGGAACGTTGCGCTTTTATAAATTCTAATATATAATGGCACATGTTTATTACACCCTTCACCACACAGTGGAACAGGGTATTATGCCTTTGTGTATTTTCCATGTATTTTTGTGAACAAAGTACAGGTCGCATTTATGATCCGATTTGGATGAAATTTGGCATAGGTCACTCATTTCGCCCAAGATTTAGATATAGCTCCCATATATATTTTCGTCCGATTTAATGTAAATGGTGCACCAAAGTTCCTATACATCTTTCGATTTGCACGAAATTTGGCACAGCGTAATGAATTAGGTCTAGAATGATGTGTGTTAAGTTTCCTGAAAATCGGTTCAGATTAAGATATAGCTCCCATATATATTTTCGTATTATTAAATGCAAATGGTGCACCAAAGTCCCTTAATATGGTGCTGATCGCTATAGAATTTTGGAGTCAAGGACGACACTTTTTGTTATCGGTAGTGATCAGATGATATATAGGGGATGTAATAAACCGAAAAGTTTATTTTTGTCTGGTCTGTCTAGCGGCCACAAATTTTACACAAGAACAGGGATTTGGTCTGCTATTGAGAATAACTGTTTTTATAAAGATATGTCAATATTTAGTGTGTCAAACCAAGATTCTTCCGGAAAAGACTCAGGGTAAGAAAATATCGCAAATATCGAAAAATACTCGCCAGGCTCTGAATATAGATCCGCAGAAAGTTAGACTTCATTGGTTGTTGTGTAGGGTATCGTATGGCCGGCACCGTCCGACTATACTGATCATATCATATAGATCATCCAGAAAGTTGGGCAATGCCGTATAACACTATATTCGGAGATCTTACCCGTGTATAGCAGTAGATGAGTATGATGCAACCACCACTTTTGACATGTGGTGAATTCATCTACTTTATTATAAAAAAAATCATTCAAAAGTTGCATTTTCTAATGATTCTCTTTCCACATTTTTAGATCTTTGGCGTATTATTGCTGCTTCTGGCAGGATTCGGTTGGGATGCAATGCCACAAAATTATGGCATTGGTATAATTGCATTGGGATGTGTAATTCTTCTTACCTCTTTGTTTGGATGTTTCGGATCGATTCGGGAATCAGCACGAAGCTTATGGACAGTAAGTGGACTTAAATAGAAAATTAAAAAAAAATAAAAGATTATTAAACTTATTTCATAATTTTTCGTAGTATGCCGTAATGTTGCTGATTCTACTGGTCCTAACGGTTGTTTTCATTTGTTTGAACACCAGAGATGTCTTTAAAAATTATGCCATTCAAGAAGTAAATCAGTTATGGGACCAGGAAATGATACATCCTGGTTCTATGGATCAAAAACAGATTGTCGTGAGTATTATATATAGATCTTATCAAACTTCATATTTCTAAACACCAATATTTTTAATCTGCAGTATGAATGCTGTGGCAAAAATGGACCCGACGACTATTTGCTGGCCGGTCGTATCACACCATCCAGTTGTTGCAAGGATAGCAACTGCATCAATCCATTGAACATTTACGTAAACGGTTGTTTGGCGAAAATCGAAGAGGCCTTCTCTAATGAAGCTTTGACTTCACAAATTTCCGAATGGGTTTTGTTGGGTCTAAATGTAAGTAGCATGAACACACATTTTTTATATCAATTCTAATCTATTGTCGATGTATTTTACAGGCTGTAGTTCTGTTGATGTCAATAATGTTGGCCATTCATTACACGAACCAAAGGCGGCGTTTCAATTACTAAATGCTGATTGAGAACAGTTTCTGTTAATAGTGGGTCAAATTGAGAAAGTAAAAAAATGAAAACTTACCACTACCTCCAAGCAAAAAGTTGATGTCACGTGTACCTAAAAATACAGCTTACAAACTCTTTAATATAGACAACATATTTTTTTGTAATTGTTATAATGTAGGATATATTTAATATATACATTTATATATATATATGTTTTTATTAATTCGAATATACACATAAAAATATATTTTTTAAATCTATATAAAAACTCGAATAAAAACATAAAAATTAGATAATATTAGAATATTATATTTACGAGGAAATTTGTTTTGTTAAAATCTAGTAATAAGTCGAAATCGTATTAGGACATTAGACCTTTTAAGTGTGTAAATAACTTTAATCAATCGTTATATTTAATAATCCGTACTAAAATATTATTGAAGTTAGATAAATGTTGGTATTTATTTTATTATAAAACTAGCTGACCCGCAAACCATGCCTTTAGATTTGTTTTTATACCCTCCACTATAAGGTGGAGTGTACAGATCGTTTGTAACACCTTGGTATTTATAAAAACTCAGATAAAGAAACATTACAATACTGAATATCTACAATTTGATGTTTTTGAGTCTTACTTCTATTTTAGCATTCTAAAGTTTCGGTGGAAATAAGTTCATTAAAAATTTAATTAGTGGAATATAAATTTAATAAATTTAAATGTACATATAAGTTTGACTATCGAATTTAATTAAGTTTTCCCCAATATATTTATAAGGCTTCCACAGAATGATAGCCCAATATTAAGCAAGTTGTTTACATATTCCACGATTATTTATAATGATTTGAAATATGCGCATACATAGCTATTATTCCTTGGATATTTGGTATTGAAAATGTTCAATATTGGTCCACTTTTTTGTTAACAAATTCTCGCTTTAATATATAAAATATTGGTTAGGACTAATCTAATTGCTCAGAATATTAGCAATTTTGCAAAAATCAGGCTTATTCATTCCAAATTCAAAGTCTCAAAAATGAACTAATTGAATGTTCATAGAAAATTGTATGCTACGGTTGAAAATCCACCCCAAGTCAATAAAATTAAAACCGGGTTTAAACAAAACCCTTAGCTAATGATGACACAATCTCAAAAACAAACTTAATTTGAAGGTAATAATTAAGTTTGAGTGAAGTTTGATTCACAAAATTTATATGATTTTTAGCTATTGTGGTAATTTTAGTGAATTGCAGTAAGATGTGCTTACAAATTCTCTAACAATATGAAATATACAGATGACGATTCACATAAAATGTGGTATAAAATGCAGATCTAGATCTAGTATGTCTATTCATTTTTTTTTATAAAAAATAGCTTCGTAAGAACCCTAGGGAGGAATTTTTCTATTTCTTATGCGTTATGCTGCAATCATCAGGTGCTCAGGTGCTTTCTGATCAGTTAGATTAAGAGATTAAAATCGTAATTTTATTGGAACAAAAGATTGAAGGAGCAACCCTGTCTAAATCGACATACACTGTTGGCCAAAATAAAGCAACTGAATTGCATGGTCAACACTAAAGCAACTTTTTGATTCTTTCTTATAAATACGCAAATTGTGCTAGTAATCGACAGCATAACCATTATTTGTTATAACGGCAGCACATTGAATCAATAAAATGTTCAATTTGATCCTTGTTCCTTTGATCCTCAAGTCGCCAAAGTACCGAATAAAGCGGCACCCCCGCTCTATGGATGCTTCCCCGAAATATGATCAAATTTTGTTATGGAGATTTTCCTCCCGATAGGAACCCAAATTATTATATTTTGGCCGATTCGGGTTTGAATTTCCTAAAAAAAAATAGTGTTATCCTTATGGGGGTTACCCTAAAAAGTGCACCAATATTCACAAATTTTAGTAGGTAGATTTTCTACACAGTGAGAACCTTAAATACCAACTTACTGATTCGGTTCATCATAATATCTATTGAGCTACTCTACAAAGTGGACCGGTAAATAATCAAATCTAGGTACCTTTTCGACTTTGTGGCCTTTTAAGTCAGAATCAATAAAAATAAATGTAAAAAGTCGCTTGACATTGACTTTTAAATTTTACTAAAACGCAAATTTCACAGCTCTATAAATTTGTTTAACCCTGCTACTAGGTTAGACAAAATCACAAATTTTATGTTGGGGTCATATTATGACCCACATATTTTGTTGAGAGAAATAAAGCCGAAGTATGTTTGGGGAAGAACCTATATATCCGAGACTTGTACTAAATCTATTGTTAGCTTAAATATAATGGTCTGTCAGGTTTAGTTCCTCAGGATTCTCAATTCGGTTCATAATATGTTTTTATCAAATCGGAAACTCCATTTTGTGGAGGTACGAGAAGGAGTTAATTCATAGGTCACATTTTCCACATTGATCTCAGTTTGGCAAAAATACTAAGATATTTATATAACGGATCAAATCGGATACTACATTAGCTTCATATTATGTATGAAAGTAGGGGAGACTGGGAACATTCGGTACTTTTTTCAGATCTCTATATCTCAGTACTTATTCAACAGATATAACAACTTTATGGTTGTTTATTGTCGTCTGATATAAAAACTAGAACCAAAAACATATAATAAATCAGTATTAGTTAAAAATGTTTACATTTTTTAAAAAAAAAAGTCAAATTTGCCGAATGTGCCCCTCCCCGGGGTAACTTCGACATTTGATGGGGCACATTCAGGAGCATAATCATAGAATGGTAATTATCGCCGCTATCAATGTAGTTGAAATTCAGATCCTCTAAATATTCCATTTTGTTTTAATATGCGACTCAATGTTTAACTTTTAAGCGACACAATGTTTAACTTCTCAAGGCCACATACACCATCAGAAATATCGCCTTTTCGTCAATATAAGCATGTTTGATCTTATATATGTAATTTCGAACCATATTAAATGAAGACAAACTCAAAAACATTTTATGCACATCATAATATTTCTTCCAAACTTAGTTCAAGTTCAATTGTGGAAAAAAAAATAAATAAATAAATAATTTTATATCATGCGAACGGACCATCCGATTTGAACGAAACTTTGTACAACGTATTATATTTACCAAGCCTAAATGAAGTCAAAGGAAGGGACCCATTGGTCCACTCCTTCTGGTACCTCCCCCACAAAGGGTCAAAATTTGTCAATATTTATAAATACAATATCAAGTGAATGTCTGAGTTGAAGCAAACTTTGTAGAACCTATTATCTTTACCAAGCCTAGATCAAGTCCAATGATGTGTTGAAATTTTCCATATTTATAAATTCAATATCAGGCGAACGTAATGTCCGATTTAAACCAAACATTGCTCAACCTGTTATCTTTACAAAGCCTAAATCAAGTTCTCCCGGGAAAGGGTATTTTATAAACTTGCAAATTTGATAAAATTGAAGCAAATTTTGTAACTGATATGTACAACATTAAATTTGAATCTCTTTGATAAAAAACATTACACATGTAGTTCCGAAGACCTGCGCAAACCATAGGCTGTTTTTACTTGTTAATCATAAAAACCAATGGTGTACAGATTGTTTTGACACTCACTGTATGTCACACTAACTCATAAAAAACAGATTCGGAACTACGAACAACTTTCATAATATAACTTAAAAAAAGAATCTGAAAATACATTCGTGTTATACATACAAACCGATTTAGTTTACAATCAAAGCATACCGGCCGGTATATTCATTCGGTTTGTTTACAACTCATTTACGAACATTGTTGGCTTTGTTTCCGTTGTGTTGTTGTTACCGTCAAATCTGTGGCATAGTCTAATCGGGTTACATCAAGCATTGGAACTGAAACAGCTCTGCTAGGAAAATAACTGAATTTGTATGCGTGAAAGTAATAAAAAATGCACTGTTAGAAATTATTGATAAGATTTTGTTGCATTTTTTATATATAAGGAATGTTTTCTGCGAAGTAGTAATTTACCTACAAATATCCCGAAATGTCAATTGACTGTCACGTCGACTGCGAAATGCACCTAGGACTATCAAATGCTGAATGAGTTGTAAACTGTCTATCGGAAGATGGTTTATCCTCTAAAAACTTTCAGCATACCGAAAATCGGGCCGGAAAATTCATATTGGGGCTTTATCAAAGTATAAATTTATAATGAACATTTTCTGCGAAGAAGTTTATTTTTATCGTGATTTCAATAGAAAAACGAACAATGAAGTTTTACTGATAAAAAAAATAAGTTGGAATTCCAACGAATACTTCGAGGTCTTGCAAACGATTTAAGACACTTACTTCGAGCCCATATAAGGGCTATCCCAAAACCTCGATCAACATTGATAATTTTTGGTACACAGATTTTAGTGGGGGCTATGCCTGGCTTTGGTTGCCATTAATTAAATTCTCAAATGAGACTACCTTCTGTGATTATGCCATGGGTGGAGGGTATAAAATGAAGTATCGTTATATGGGTGCTACCCCTAAACAAGGTACAATGAGAATATAAGATATAACATCATGACCCTCTATATTATGGTGGATGGTTTAAAAATATTTTTTATTTTGATTAATACGCTTCAGATTTTGTAGCAGAATTTATGTTCCATTTAAATTTATTCTATTATCATATTCATATAACCAAATAAAATCTTAAAATCATGGCAACTCTTCATGGTAGGCCTGGTCATGATACTTTATAATCTGAAAAAAAAAAACAATTAATGCTCGTGTCTTTGTTTGTTTCCTTCTCCTGTTTGATACAAATCATCGGCGACATTGAAAAATGTGGAGGCGTACGTCACGTTCGCAGTGAAATTCTAAACTCAATGCTTGTCAACGGATTGTTTTTATTATTTTGTTGTTGTTGTTTTTTTTTCGTTCGAAGGGGCATCAGATAGATACACATGTTTAATCTTGACCATTGCCACCCGAAATCAAATGACACATCAAGCAAAGGTGCTATTAAATAGCTCACACAACAACAAAGCGTAGGCGCTAGTTTAAAAGCGTACAAC